GAGGCACTGGCGGGGGAGGCGCTGGAGCTGGTGGCACTAACGCTGGAGGCGCTGGAGTTGGAGGCACTGGCGCGGGAGGCGCTGGAGCTGGAGGAGCTGGAGCTTGTGACCCTGGAGGAACTGTGCGGCCGCGACCGTACTTCGTTCCCCTGCTTCAGCAGGTTCTTGGTGTCCCGTCTTCTACTAGCCTTACTCCTCCCCTCCTGTGTCCACCGCCTGACCAGTCGCAGCTGCCGTTACAGCCGGCCTCTCCATTGCCTGCTCCTTCTCCTTACTCTGAGCAGTCCGGCGGTCTTACAGAGCGTCGTCAGCCTGCGTCTTGTCCTGTCTCGCCTGTTTGCACTGCTCGTCGCGTTTCTCATTCGCGTCCTCCTCCTGTCCCCGGCACACACGCTATGGCACTTGTTCAAATACGTGTTCCTCTGCCTGCTCCTCTTGAGTCCTCTCTTCCTGCCGTCCCTGACCCTGAGTCTGACCGCGCTCGTTCTACCAGTCCCATTGTCTCTCGTCTCCTCGCCACTGCTGTCACTGATCCTTCCTTTGAGACTGCTGCCTCGTCTGCCCTCGTTGTTGAGCTGCTTGACTTATCTGCTGCCTGTCGTCTAGACTACGCCACTGCTCTTGTAGCTGATTCTGCGTCTGCCAGTCCTCCGTCCATCAAGGGTGAGTGTGCTCTTGGCACGGACGTCCTCGAGGACAGGGAGGAGGTCTTTGAGTGTCTTGCAGCTACTGTACCTCGTTTCGCTTCCATGCTGCTTGCCCCTGAAGGAGACCCGGATGCACCAGACATCCCGACCCCGCGCTCTTACGCAGAGGCGATTACGGGTCCTCACTCCTCTCAGTGGCAGGCAGCCATGGATGCCGAGATGGCATCCTGGAAGTCCACAGGCACCTACGTCAACGAGGTTCCCCCACCTGGGGCGAACATAGTCGATGGCATGTGGATCTTCAGGGTGAAGCGGCCGCCGGGTTCTCCGCCTGCCTTCAAGGCGCGTTACGTTGCTAGAGGCTTCAGTCAGCGACAGGGAGTCGACTACTTCCAGACCTTCTCCCCCATTCCGAAGATGACTACTCTTCGGGTGTTGCTGCACGTCGCTGCTCAGCGTGACTACGAGTTACACTCTCTGGACTTCAGTACAGCTTTCTTGCAGGGCAGCCTGCACGAGGAGGTCTGGCTGTGCCGCCCACCTGGCTTCACTGGGTCGTTTCCTGCACGTACCCAGTGGAGCCTCCGGCGGCCAGTCTACGGTCTCCGCCAAGCGCCTCGTGAGTGGCACGACACACTGAGGACTACACTTGCGGCTCTGGGGTTTTCTCCTGCTACTGCTGACCCGTCGCTGTTTCTCCGCACTGACATATCAATGCCACCGTTCTACGTCCTTGTGTACGTCGACGACCTCGTCTTTGCCACTGCTGACACTGAGGCACTGACCCTTGTGAAGTCGAAGCTGCAGAAGAGACACACCTGCACTGACCTGGGTGAACTTCGAAGCTATCTTGGCTTGCAGATCATCCGAGACAGAGCACGGCGCACCATCACCCTGACTCAGTCACACATGGTGCACCAGGTCCTTCAGCGCTTCGGCTTCCAGTTCTCCTCGCCACAGCCCACTCCTTTGTCTACCGGCCACTCGCTCTCAGCTCCACCTTCGGACGAGTCCGTAGAGCCGAGTGGTCCGTACCCAGAGCTTGTGGGTTGCCTCATGTACCTGATGACGTGCACACGACCTGACCTCGCGTACCCTCTCAGCCTCTTGGCTCGCTACGTGGCTCCCGATAGGCACCGAAAACTGCACTGGGATGCTGCAAAGAGGGTACTGCGTTACTTGTGCAGTACGTCGGGCATGGGGCTCGTGCTTGGAGGACGAGGTCCAGTTGTCCTCACTGGTCACGCAGACGCCTCTTGGGTTGACGACTCAGCTACGCAGCGATCGTCACAGGGTTATTCCTTCAGCCTCGGTTCTTGCTTTGTTTCCTGGCGGTCTACCCGCTCGTCTTGAGTTCTCACCTCCATTTGTGAGGCTGAGATCTACGCCGGGGCCATGGCTGCACAGGAGCTACGCTGGCTCACCTACCTGCTGACTGACTTGGGAGAGCAGCCTCGTTCGCCTCCAGTTATGTACGTAGACAACAAGGCCATGATTGCCTTGTGTCAAGAGCACAGACTGAAGCACAGAACGAAGCACATCGCTCTGCGATACTTCCTTGCTCGAGAGTTGCAGCAGCGTGGCCAGCTTCGTCTTGCGTACGTGGCCACTAAGGCCAACACTGCTGATATATTCACCAAGGCACTTCCGCATGGTGATCATCAGCGCTTCTCTACTGTGTTAGGCCTTGTGCCTACTTTGCCTCACTTGCTCACTGCGTGACTTTGCTTGTACTGTGATCTATATATATACCTGCATGCTTACACTTGATAGGGTATGATCACTGTATTGTTTGTTCTCTTTTATATAACTCTGCATGTGAACTGGCGTTGTGGCCCTTTGCTTGTGCTCGGACTGTGTGGTGAATTTGAGATCCACCCTGAGCTGGGTTTGCTTTTCTTGACTGGTCTTGTGACCACTTGTTCTCCCCCACTTTGCCTATGGGGGTGTGTCAGAATGTTATATTGCTTACAATTGTGTAGGCTATAGTGGGGTAGTCCTTAAGGGGTACAACCCAATTAGGGTTAGTACTTGTACCCAACTCTTTCATAGTTCATTCATTCTCGTTCATTCTCTTGACAGCCTGGGACGACGTCACCTGTCGAAAGTGGTCCCTCTGGTCGACTGGCAGGAGAGATCGGACGGCATGCTGTGCAACAGCGTCGCGCTCCGTCCACTGTTTGTAGGCGAGGCTGTCCGCCCGGTACCGCCTCTGCACGTCCTCATGAGCGTCAGCAGCAGGCTCAGTGGGAGTCGTGGGGGCTGGAAGTGACCCCGACGTGTGCCCGAGTAGGGAGACGCCATCTCTGATGTAACACCGGAGATGCAAGCGCAGGCACATAAGCCAGAAGTCGAACCGGTACGGGAGCCCGTCGGTGTCAAACTCTAAGAGCGGTGGCGTTGCCATGACGGGTAGTGTAGTGGCGAGGGCAGAGCGTGGGCAACTAGAGCAGCGTGCTGGCACCTCAGGCAGCTCGCAGGCAGGGTGGCGCGCGTGCTGCAGTGCAGGGCGGCATGCGGGCTGCAGGGCAGGGCAGCGCGCAAGCTGTAGGGCAGGGCGACGCGTGGTCTGCAGGGCAGGGCGGCGCGCAAGCTGCAGGGCAGGGCGACGCGCGGGCTGCAGGGCAGGGCCAAGGGTGGGCTGCAGGGCAGGGCGGCGCGCTAGCTGCAGGGCAGGGCGACGGGCGGGCTGCAGGGAAGGGCGGCGCGCGGGCTGCAGGGCAGGGCAGGGCAGAGCACGTGGAGCCGCGCAGGCAGGGCAGCGTGAGGAACGCTGTTCGGGCAGGGCAGTACGGGCAGTTCGGGCAGTTTGGGCAGGTCGAAAATAGTCGTGGGCCCTAACGGAGCGGTCCTACGGAGGATGGACCCGCTCTGAATACCATGTCAGAATAGGAACGTACGAATGATGGACTAGGTAGGAAGAGTGAGTACAAGTACTACCTAACCCTAAAGTGCTGTACCCTTTAGGGTATGCCCCACTACAGCCTACAGAGAAAAAATACACTTTGACAGGGTTGTACTCACTAGAGTATGCCCCACTACAGCCTAGAGCATACAAACATAATTTGACACAGGTGACTCATAAATTGCAGCACAGGCCAATCACACGTTGAGGTGCAACTCGTCCGCGCTTGACTTTTTAGACTGAGGGAGTGACGAGAAAAAAAGTTCCAGCAGTGAAGGAGTGCAAATCGTGGGGTAGAGGGAATAGCGAGGGTGGGGAGAAACGAGGGTCCTGCGCCGGGGGAAATGGTGAAAGAAGCAGCTATAATTTGGGGGTGGGGGGGGGGGGGGGGGGGGGGGGGGAGAGGGATGGGCGGGGATTTCCGACATAAATAGCGGGAGTTGGGGTGGGGTTGGGGCAGCGAAATGGTGAGAGCAACATGCGAGTGAGGCTAGAAGTCGGGGGGAGTGAGGGAGCGCGGGGAAGGGGGTGGGCTCGGCCTCGGGGGGGCGGGGTGGGCAGGAGAAAGGGATCGCAAGCGGATTCTCTATGTACAATCCGGTATTGATGGTTTCAGACGAATAGAAGAATGCATTTCTGATCAATCAGATGAAGCATAAAACCGACGGTAACGACTTAGACTTTTTGCAGTATAAACAGGCTAACAACAATTATACCCTGGTACAATCAGCCTATCAATTTTGTTAGGCTTCTGCCATCAGTGTACGAAAAATATTACCGGTACCCTAGGGGTCAGGGTACTGGGGGCCTGGAAGCCTGATTTGCAAGAGTGGACCAAAACCAATTTTGGGCCCAAAAGTGAACCCTGCCCAAAGGAGCATGCATGAACTAGTGGTGTTAGTTACGGTACCTACCATATGTACTTGCACAAAGCTGACGATACGCACTTGACACAAGAGGGCAAGAAGCAACTCTTGTTACCCGATCCCTTAAAGGATTGTGTGTGTTATGTAACGTGCGTGGTTGCATGTTTTGCGTGTCATATCCGCAATACGGTTGGTAGCTGCTTCTTGTACGTTAGTGAGATGTGGTTGAGATTTACCCTGGATCCAGTATGGAGGAAAAAAGGAGAGAACCGTGTGGTCGACCGATGGGTCAGTGCTGTAGAAGCTTGGGCTGCACTGTAACTATGCATCCTGTTAAGTACCTTAGCTATACACATGAAATGAGGAAGTGATACAAAGGGCAGGGATGGAAGAAAGCGAGCTGGTGAAGGTAGATCTGGAGAAGGTTGAGAGGAGTCGGGCCTGGATATGATTTAATGAGAGATGTTACATTGGTGCCCTCTAAGCACCATGCATGCATCAGGATAGTCACACTCTCGACAGTCACACTCTCACAAGCAAGTGTCGTTCACGCTTCACGGATAAACTATGACCTGCCCCGAGTTACACCACAGCAGCAGGGGACAGAGATGCGGAAGGCTCTTGCAGCCCCTCAAGACTCTGGTTAAGGAGGCACAGCAGCAGGGGGGAGAGGTGCTGAAGGCTCTTGCGGCCCCTCAGAAGTCGAGTCATGGCACAGCAGCAGGGGGGAGAGGTGCTGAAGGAGGGACAGGTGCACCAGCCATGCCACGACCAGCAGCAGCAGCACTCAGCATGGCAGACTGTTGCTGGAGCACAGGCGGCATGACTGCCTTGTCCCGGTTGCTGATGGCTGGCACATGAGAATGATGGAGATAAGATAAAGAAGGAAGTTAGATAGGCGAACCAGCAGCACCACGCCCAGCAGCAACAGCGGCAGCAGCACTCAGCATGACAGACTGTTGTTGGAGCACCGGAGGCATGACTGCCTTGTCCCGGTTGCTGATAGCTGGCACAGCAATGTTGGGAAAAGGGTGGGGATAAGATGAGCATACCAGAACATGTTGGAAAAATGGGATAGCAATGGGACGGTAACATCAGGAAGATGATGAGGAAATGAGGAATATAATGATTACAGTGGTGAGAATGAATTGGAAGGGTTGATGATTTGACAACGGAGGGATAAACCTGCAACGGAGAGTGGCCAGAAAAAAAAAATGCCAAACAAAAGCTCAAGTGACACGTCCACTATAGTCCTATCTGGGGAAAACTTTCGATTCGACTCAAAAGCCCACTTGACACATCCTTTTAGGGCCACAGCTGTGGAGTATGAACGGTGCGGGCACCACTCAAAGGCAGCAGTGTTGTTACGCACGGGTAGTTTTAGGCAGGGGAGCATGCACCGTGATGGGCATGGATGGACTGTGATTGTCCCTCTCTGCCTCTGCTTGCCGCCATGGATAGACAGCGCATTCGGCCTCACAATCAAGGGGTGCTCTCTCTCACGATGAAGCTGGGGAATACCAACCAAAGGCAGCAAGGTTGTTACGCACACGTTACTTTCGGCAGCGGGGCGTGCACGGTAATCAACATAGACTACTCTCCCCTCTGTGTCTCCGCCCCCATTGGTAGCGCATAACGCCCCTCTATATGTTGGTAATCTCTCTCACAAGCAAGAAGGGAATACCGGCCAACGGCACTGTCACTAACGTGTGACTTTAGGCAGCGGGGCGTGCACGGTGATGGGCATGGACCACTCGCCCCTCTCCGTCTCCGCCCCCATGGCCAGTACATGTGGTTTCACACTGAGGGATCCGGTACTCGCACAAGCAAGCTGGGGAATACCAGGCAGCAACACTGTCACTTACGGGTTACTTTAGGCAGCGGGGCGTGCACGGTGATGGGCATGGACCACTCTCCCCTCTCTGTCTCCGCCCCCATTGCCAGCGCATGCGGCCTCTCATGCATCTGCTGCTGCTGCCTGCCCTTGCCCGTGCTGCCAGGGGTGCTGCTGGGTGGTGCTGGGCACCTGGTGGACGCACAGAACTCAAACCGAAGGATCCACTGATGAGGGAATGGGCAGGGAGGAGGGGAGCAGTGAAGAGAGGGATGAGTGGTGAGAAAAGAGAGCAGATGCAGAAGAGCATGCGTCTGCTGCTGCAGTGGCCTTGCATGTGCTGCCAGGGGTGCTGCTGGGTGGTGCTGGGCGCCTGGTGGATGCACAAAACGCAAAGCGCAGGATCCACTGGTGATGGGAGTATGGGGGGAAGAGCAGGGGGGAGAGCAGGGGGAAGAGCAGGGTGGAGAGCAGCGCGGGGGGAAGAGCAGAGGGGAGTGATCGGGCACCTGGTAGAAACACAAAACTCAAAGCGCAGGATCCACTGGTGAGGGGAGTATGGGGGGAAGGAAGGGAGGGGGGGATAGGAGAGAAGGAGAGGGGAACACTGAAGGAAGGGAGAGGAGGAGGGGAGTGATGGAACTAGGGGTGCGATGAGCAAGGAGAGAAAAGGAGTGAAGTGTTTAGGGAATGGGCGATGGGCGATGAGTGAGATGATGGGCATGCATGGGCGGCCTACCTGCAGTGAGATGATGGGTGTGGCGAAGGAGGCGGCGGCATCGGAGGGGATGGTGAAGATGAAGTGCGTGTGGAGCAGATCCACTGTCACCTCGTGATGCTCCATTTGCAACACTGGCAGGTGTAGGGGGGTCTGGGGGTGGACAAGGGGGAAGGGGGGGAAGGGGAGAGTTGGAAGGGGGATGTGGCGGCATCGGAGGGGACGGGTCGACAGTCATGGGGCGAAGGAGGAGGCGGCGTCGGAGGGGATGGTGAAGATGAAGTGCGTGTGGGAAGGGTCGACTGTCACCTCGTGATGCCCCATCTGCAGCACTGGCAGGTGTAGGGGGGTCTGGGTGGGACACGGGGAAGGGGAGTGGGAGACATGGTAGGGAAGAAGAGGTGAGAGATGAAGTGCGTGTGGAGCAGGTCGACTGTCACCTCGTCATGCCCCATCTGCAGCACCGGCAGGTGTAGGGGGGTCTGGGGACAGGGAGGGAGAGAGAGGGGGGACGGAAGAGTGGAAAGAGAGGATGTGGCGGAAAAGGGGGGTGTGGTAGAGAAGAACCATGGGAGGGATTGTGGGGTGACGGAGGTATCAGGGAAGAGGGGATGAAAAGATATCTGCAGAGGCAGTGAGACAAGGGGAGTGCAATTGCAAAGTTGAAGGGAGCATGCTTGAAGGAGGGAAGGTGCTAAGGGCTTGCATGCATGCATGAGTGTCGACGTGCATGTGTGCATACATGCGTCGGTGCACATGCATGCATGTGTGCATGTACGCGTGTGTGCGTGCATGTACATGTGGGTGCATACATGTGTGAAGCATGAATGCAAGCACAGCAAAGCGCGGGTCACCTTAGCAGCAGAGGCAGCAGCAGCCACTCTCCTAGACGTGTGGAGGGCGCGTGGGTTGATGACCTCGTGCATCTCCAATAGCACTGACACCTGGTGGTGGGGTGGGAAAAAGGCGAGGCGGAGAGGTGGGAGAGAAGAATGGTGGGACAATGGAATGAGGGTGGATCACCTCGCGCAGGTCCAGTAGCACTGACACCTGGTGAGCGTAGGGAAGAGAAGGCAGGAGAGAGACGTCATGCATCGCCAGCAGCACGGACACCGAGGAAGCAAACCCAATGCAGTGGCACGCAGGGGTTCTAGGCCTTGCGTGCCTCCAACAGGGGTTGATGGCCTCGTGCATCTTCAGCAGCACGGACACCTGGCAGGGCAGGGAGGCAGGAGAGAGAGGAGGCGAGAGGGAGAGATGGAAGAAACAAACCCAACACAACGAAGAACAGGCATGACCTGCCTCCTGGGGGAGTTGATGACCTCATGCATCTCCAGCAGCACTGACACCTGGCGAGGGAGAGAAGGCAGGAGAGAGAGGTGAGAGAATGAAGGGTGGAAGAGATGTGGCAACACCGTGCTGAGTAATTGGGGGTTGATTTGGAGCTTAGTTGGAGTATACGCTCGAATCTTTTTGCGTTTTGAGTTTATACGCGCTAAAAAAACGACCGCTGCGTTTTTCGTGTGGAAACGCAGAAAAACGCTCGGGCAGCCCGGGAAAAAAAACAGAAGTTGGGTTTGAGCTAGCGACATGGCGAACTGAAAATTAGGGCATCGCACATTCGGGATCTCAACTTCGAAATTGAATTTCGAAGCAGATCCACAACAACCCCTTGTGTGTACCATTGAGCAACCCACTCCACCCCATTCAATCCCTATTCCTTCCACTCAATTTCGAGTGGAGGAGTTGGATTCAACCAGACTCATCTCTAGCAGAAATGCGGCTCTAATTCTCCATTCGATGTTCATCGTTAGGATTTTTTTACCTCATTTTTACCTACCTCTTCGTATCGACGAGTATGACTAGACTGCGGTGCGGGCACCAACTTCGTGCTTTGCACCTCGCGCATCCCCCCCTGTTAACCTAACAAACTGCCCGGCCAAAAATTTTATGTGCCAGGGCCTGCGTTTTCACTGCGTACCGGACCCCTCCCAAGAAGCGTTCGGCGTTTATACGCTAGTGGATAAACGCTAGCGTATGAAACGCGAAACGCGTATACTCCAACTAAGATTTGGAGTGTCGGGGGAGGCAGGTTAGGGAAAGGAGTGGCAGGATGACGCAGTGCGAAAGGGAGGGCGATAAGTAGGGCATTCTTTTTCCGGAAAAATGGAAGCTTGAAGAGGAGCATGAGATGTGCATGGTGGGGGTGGAGGGAAACACGGGAGCAGCAGAGCAACAATGCACCTGCTACTGGTCCAATAAATAAAAGGCATGAGCACACAACACACAGAGGTGATGTTTTTTTGGTTATGCACACACATGGCCACACGCTCGCTCGCATGCAGACGTGCACACAGCAACGGGTGCGACGCACCTCGAGACATCTGCGTGGGCCGTCCTCAATGGGAAAGGCGAGAGTGCCAGACACCTGGTGGGAGAGGGGCGTGGTGTGGGGTGGGGGTGGATGAAGGGCGGTGAGAGGGAGGGTGAGGCAAGGCCATGAGGCGCAAAGGGAGTCGTGGAATGATGTGAGAAGATTAGAAGGTGATAAATACACAGAACAGTTGTTGTGGCACATGATGACATGCGATGGCACATGATGACATGCAATGGCACATGATGACATGCAATGGCACATGATGACATGCAATGGCACATGATGACATGCAATGGCACATGATGACATGCAATGGCACATGATGACATGCAATGGCACATGATGACATGAAATGGCACATCAATGGAAGAGATGCCACATGATCCAAGGAAGGATGGATGGTGGGGACCCAAGCAGGCATGTGCAGGGATGTGTGGGTCACATCAACCACACACCACACTTGCGCATGCATACACAATTCCCCTCACACTCCCACTCACCACGTCCCCCAGGACCCAGGTATGTAGACGGGCTGGGGGGTCCATTTTGAGAATACTCACAACTCACTCCTGGGAGTGAATCGCACGAGCTCATGGCATGGATACTCAATGCGCCCATGCAAGGGCTGCATCATCAGTAAGCATTCCACTCCACACACAGCCCCTTACACCCACCTTCACAACGCCCCTCCATCCCACACAGCCATGCAGACTGCTCTCACCACGTCACCCAGGTAATAGACCAACTGGGGGTTCCTGGGGGTGAAGCGCACGAGCACATGGTCGTCAATGTGCCCATGCATGTGCCCAATGTGCTTGTACCATGCATACCACATGCCACACACACAGCCCCCCAGGTAGCACTCACCACATCCCCCAGGTAGTAAACAGGCTGCGGGTTCCTGGGAGTGAAGCGCACAAGTACATGGTCGTCAATGCGTATGTTGTATGTTCGCCCTCGCACCCCTGGCCCTGCCACGTGGGTCCCAATGGCAGTGGAATGGAGGGACGGGAGGGGTGTGGATGGGAGTGAAGCGCACGAGCACATGGTCGTCTATGCGGATGTTGTACGTGCGCCCTCGCACCCCCGGCCCTAGCATGGAAAAAAAGGGAGGGATGGGAGAGATGTGGATGGGATGGGAGTGGCAGGCACAGCCAATGGCGACTGCGGATGATGTCTGTTCGGCCTCACCACACCTGTAGCCTGAAATGTCGACGCAAAAGTCACCGCACATTGAGGAGGAGACGGTGGACGAGGTGGCATAAGTACTTGTCAACAATGGACAGGTGGGCTGCGAAGGTAGATTTTGAGACGTCTCAAAAACTCCCTTGTAACACCTCACAGTGAGGTGAGGAGGAGACGGCGGACGAGGTGGTAGAAGCACAGACTAGTAGGCTGGATGAGCCCACATGGATGGAACAGGGGGGAGAGGGGGAGAGGGGAAACGAGGGGTGTGGGTGTGGAGGGGGAGAGGGGAAACGAGGGGTGTGGGTGTGGAGGGGGAGAGGGGAAACGAGGGGTGTGGGTGTGGAGGGGGAGAGGGGAAACGAGGGGTGTGGGTGTGGAGGGGGAGAGGGGAAACGAGGGGTGTGGGTGTGGAGGGGGAGAGGGGAAACGAGGGGTGTGGGTGTGGAGGGGGAGAGGGGAAACGAGGGTTGTGGGTGTGGAGGTGAAATTGAGTGGGTTGGTGTGGGGGGGTGGGAGGGGTCTGGGAAGGTCTGGGGGGAAGTGTTGGAAAGAGGAGACTCACCTGGAGACCGTGGGATGAACGGCCCCTCATCCTCCTCCTGCCGATTCAGCAGCGACAGCGCCCCTCCCCTCCCCCCATCGCCCCCTCTCTCCCCCTCGTACCCGTTCCCCGCCCCTCCATACGCCCCAAACAACAGCCCTCCCTCCGCCTGCCCCCCCAGCTCAGACAGCGTGGGGCTATCCGGCTCCAAATCCAGCAGAGACGATGACCGCGCCCATGCCCCTCCCCCTGCGGCTCCCCCCCCCCCCTGCCCCTCCCGCTCCCCCTCCCCCTCCCCCGCCCCCCCAGGCGTCAGCAGCAGAGGAAGAAAGGGAGTGAGAGCTGCCACCCCCTCCGCCATTCTCTGAGAAATGCTTGCCAGCAGTCATGGACTTGGAGCGTCCGATGGGCTCGTTTGCCCCCGCCTGCTGCCCCCCAGCAGCAGCACTGCCCTCCTCTGTGGGCAGAGGGGCGGACCACAGGCGGGTCAGGTGCGGGCTCTGCAGGCCGTCAGAACCCCCAGCAGCAGCAGCAGCAGCAGTGTCGGAACTGGTTCCTGCTGCCAGTGTGCCGGCCTCCCCCAGGCCAGCTGAGCCTGCACCAGATACCACCTCCCCTTCGCCAACCTCTGTGACGGTAGCGGTGGCCGCCACAGGGCTGCCTGTGCGCAGCCCTGCCGCCCCTCCCACTGCCCCGGTGCTCTCAGCAGCAGCTGCTGCAGCGGTTGCGTCCTCCTCGTCCTCCTCTGCTGCTGGTGGTTCTGGTGGTGGTGGGGGGGCCTGAAGGAGGGTTGAAGTGAAGTAGGGGGGCAGTGGAGGGGGAGAGGAGGGACGGAGGTGAGCAGCAGTGGCAGCAGCTGCTTTAAAGTCCCCTCCGCCGACCTCCGTGACGGTAGCCGTGGCCGCCACAGGGCTGCGTGTGCACCGCACCGCCCTGCCGCCCCTCCCACTGCCCCGGTGCTCTCGAGGTTGACAGCCTCAGCAGCAGAAGCCTGTGCGTTTTCTTCCTCATCTTCTGCTGCTGGTGGTTCTGGTGGTGGTGGGGGGGTCTGATGGGGAGGAGAAGTACGTGGGTGGTGGGGGGGGCTGATGAGGGATGGAGGCGAGCAGCAGCGGCAGCAGCTGTATGCATGTATGCATGGCACCATCTTCCTACTCTGCTGGTACTGGCTCTGAGGGTTCGCATGGCAGGGATGCATGATGGGCTTGTGAAGAGGCGATAATGGGGATCCGAAGGGAAGGAGAAAGAGAGGGAGGTGGCCTGGGTTTGGGGAAGAAGGCTAAACGGGGAGATATGGGCAGAATGGAGCGGGGAAGAAGAGCGGCAGGGGGAATAGTCGCTACGATGGCAAACATCCATGTCTAACCAGCACAGCTGCCTTGGTTACCTTGTAATGCATCAGGCTCCAGGTCGCAGAGACTCTGTCAGCACTGACCCCTCCTCGGTTTGACCCTGACAGCACTGAACCTGCTGCCTCACACCTCGAAAGAATGAACTCCCCCCTGACAATGCAATGCAAGTGAACGTCCTGATGCCATCCGTATCACCATAAAATGACGTCAAGTGCCGCACAGTCTATTTCAAGTGCCGTCTAGTCTATTATAATTGCTGTCCAATCTACCAACATTGCTGTTCAGGCTGCCCAGCTTACCATGAATGCTTCCCTAATCTACCGTAAGTGCCACCAAACCTACCATGAGTGCCGCCCGGGACTTCCTTTCCCTCCACTGAATGTCCACCTCCACTGCTGCCGTGGGCACTATGCCTGTGCGGGATGTGAGTGTGAGGGAGAGAGTGAGGAAATGAAGGGGAGTGAGGGAGTGAGGGAGTGAGGGAGTTGTGAGAGAGTGGGCGGGTGGGGAGGGGGATTGAGTGAGGAATGGAGGGCGTGAGGAGTAATTAAATCGAGAATTAGCTGGTCGCAAGAGGGGAAAACAACATGGGGGTCGTACCTCCCACGCCGTAGTGATCGTCTGAGTCCAGTTCCTCTACTGTGAGCCCACTCAGGTTGGGGAGTGTCCAGATGCGCAACGGCACTCGCACCTCCTGGGAGGAGGGCAGATGGGAGGGGTGGGGATGGAATGAACGGTATGGAAGGGAGATTGGTGAGGAATGAAGCACTGCAGAACACTGTGAGCCCACTCAGCTCAGGTTGGGCAGCGTCCAGATGCGCAGCGGCACTCGCACCTCCTGTGAGATGAGAGGGAGGGGTGGGGATGGATGGAATGAACAGTATGGAAGGGAGATTGGTGAGGAATGAAGCACTGCAGTACGTTGTGAGCCCACTCAGGTTGGGCAACGTTCAGATGTGCAGTGGCACTTGCACCTCCTGGGAGAGGGAGAGGGAAAGGGAGAAGGTCAAGATATGAAGCGTCACTGAATCGTGTGAGCTTATACTTGGGTTGGGCAGCGTCCCGATACGCAATGGCACTCGCACCTCCTGGGGGGGAGGAGAAGGGCGGGGGATGGGGGTGGATGGAGGCATGGAAGAGAAGAGGATGATGATGAAGGAGAACGGGGAGTGGAAGCATGGGTGACGAGGGCGATGACTGTCGCAAGGAGGAGGAGGGAGAGGGTGGGAGCATGCGGCAGGGAGGTGGGGAAAATGGGGGGTATCGCTCACACACACAGCATTGCTCACCACAACAGACGTGGCTCCACCCTGTCCGCCCTTCCCCCCTTTCCCCTTCCCCTGACCACCCGCTACTCCCCCTCTCCCCTCCTCCGCTCCCCCTCTCCCCTTCAACGGAGTGGTATTCGCGCTCCCCCCTTGCCCCCTGCTCCCCTCGCCCTTCCCCGCCCCTCCTCCCCCCACTTCCCCTCCTAGCTGCCCCCCAGAGTGGGACCTCCGCGGAACACCAGGGGAGGGGGAGGGGGAGGCGGAGTGGGAGGAGAGGAGGGCGGAGGAGGAGGAGGAGTGGGCGGAGGCGAGGGGGGAGGGGGATGGCGAGGCGGAGGGGGAGGGGGAGGGGAGGGGGCGCCACTTGACGATCACTGTGAGCTGGTAGTGAAAGCGCACTGCTGTTCCGCGGTAGGAGGGGGGCAGCACTCGCGGTAGCTGTGCTCTTATGGCGTCTGGGGGAGAGGTTCGAGGGAGAGTCGGAATGGGGAAGGGGGAGGGGAGGGGGGGCAGGAGGGCGGGGAGGAGGGCAAGGTTCTAGCGGAGGGGAAAGGGGAGGCGAAAGGGAAGTAGGGGGGGGGGGGGGGCATTACTTGACTATGACTGTGACCGTGGTAGGAGGGGCGGCAGCTGCGCTCTTATGGCGTCTGGTGGAAAGAGGGGGGGCGAGAACGGGTGGCTGAGGCATGTGAGTAGTCGCAGTGATTGAGTGAATGGAAGCTGCAAGCTGCAAGGGCGACAAAAAGGGAGCATTGAAGGCAGAGAGAAGGGGTGCAGCCTGGGGAGGAGGAGGGAGTGTGTGCGGCAAGAAGGAGAGGTAGAGAGAAGGGGGCAACACAAGGGAGGGGAAGAAAGGGGAAGGGGGAAGGAGGGGGTGCATACATGCCTCGCTGGTAGAGCAAGGGCAAGGGAAAGGAGGGGCCAAGGAGGAAGGAAGGAGGGGATGCGTACACGTCTTGCTGGTGCCGAGTTCGATGGCCACGTTGGTGACGAGGAGAGGCAGAGGGGAAGGGGAGACACAAGGGAAAGCGGAAGAAGCGGGGAGGGGGAAGAAGGGGGCGCGTACAGGTCTTGCTGGTGCCGGGTTGGATGGCCACGTTGGTGACGAGCGACGTGAGCTGCGACTCCAGAATCACCCTCTCGCCTGCCAGGCAAGCATGGAGTGTGTCGGTGCGGGGCAAACGGGGCATGGGGCAAGGCATTTGGAAACGGGGGAAGAGATGAGGGAGTTGGCATGGACGGCAATGGAGTGGGCGGCGAGCGCTGCTGCAACTCCAGAATCACCCTCTCGCCTGCCAGGTGTGTTTCGATGGGAAGCATGCAGGAAAGGCAAGGCGTGCAGCAAGGGCAGGGCACGGCATGGGGCAAGGGTTTGGGAAACAGGAGGTGATGGGAGATGGCATGGTTGGAAACGGATACACTGCCCGGCGGCGTGAAATGCTGGGTCTCTCGCCTGCCGGGCGTGTTTAGGTGAGGCGTGGGTGAGGTGATGGGTGTAGGCGTTGGTAGCGGTGATGGGGGCGATGGGAGTGGTGAAATGTTGGGGGTGAAGGGGGGAGTGATACCCAACTACCCACAGTACCCCTAATCACATGCAATGACTCAGCAGTCTTGTGATAAAAGTGTAGTTTTGAGACGTCTCAAAACTACAATTTTATCACGTCAGTACCCCTAATCGCATGCAACGATGCAGCTGTCCTCTTAGACTGTCGAGCCCGCCCTCACTTCCTCACATGGCGCCCTCACTTCCTCACATGACGCCCTCACTTCCTCACATGACACCCTCACTTCCTCACACCTCACTTCCTCACTCCCACACTCCCTCACACCTTCATGCCCTCACTCCCTCATTCCCTCACATCCTCGCTCCTTCACATCCACTCCACCCCACCGATGCTCCCTGCTCACTCGTCTCTGCCTTCTCTATGCCACGCGCCTCTCTCCCTGCCCGTTGCTCATCATTCCTGGCCCTTCGCTCGACACCCTCCCCCTCCCCCTGTCTCCTCCCACCACCTTTCCTCTCCCCCGCCCATCTTTCCTCTCCCCCACCCACCTGTCTGTTGGAGAATCGAGTTTCTGCCGCCCCAGCCCTTTGCACACAAGCAGCAGCAAGGGGGAATGTCGGCGATGAATCAGAGCTTCGGGAAGTACTTCGAAAGTTCCACCACCAATCAGATTTCAGCCGAAGACTCGATATAGTTCAAAGCTGCCTTCAAACCGAAGTGTTGGCAGTTTCTACAGGTTTCTACACATCAGAATCAGCTATAACAGAAATATCCAGAGTTTTCTTATTCATGCACCTCATGTGGCACTCAAAGTCACTCAAGGTCCATCCAATCTAGATTGTGCCCAAGTTACCAGGGAAGTTACATTGTCTATCAGCCTAGTTTGAGCTTTCAATCTGTCTTGTTTGTGATGCCTATAGAGTTGTGCTTTAGTGGGCTTGTTAATCTTGAACATAGTGAAGTTTTACCTCATCCAGTCAATTCCAGCAGCCCTGCTAAGACTTTCCAGCCAAGTTTCCAGCCCTCCAGTAGTCACAGCTACTCTGTTTTACAAGTTGGTATCAGAGCTTGTCGTTTCGATCAACCTAGCCCACCACGTTCCTATCCTAGCACCATACGAACATGGCGGGAGACAATCCATCTGGTCCTGCACTCCAGGCAGCCGGAGGAGCTTCAGAGTCAACATCAGCAGCTACTGGATTAGTGGAAGCAGTTGCACCAGGCAGTCCTTCAACAACATACTCACCACTCACCTCCTTCATGCCTAAGCTTCACCTCCCCAAGTTAAACGGCAAAGATTTTCCAACATGGGCAACTCAGTTTGAGCTCACTGCATCCCTTCTGGATCTGTGGCCTTACTACACTGGAGAAGCAGCCAAACCAGCAGCAGATGCTTCAGAAGCTGAAAAACGACTTTACGAACGACGCAACAAGGAGGCCTTCCTCTACCTACTCAATAGCATTCACGAGCAGCAGTTGAAGTCGCTCCTGCCCTGTTCTACCAAGGCAAACAGTGCAGAGGAAGCATGGAGCCGACTGAAGACTATGCACCAGTCAAAATCCGAGAGCAGCCAAGCCGAGATGAGGAGCCGCTTCATGAATCTGAAGATGGAAGAAGATGAATCAGCACAAGCCTACCTACAACGAGCTGAAGCAATGCTGGAGGAAGCAGCAGCGATCGGCTTGGAGATTCCAGAGTCTCTTTTCAAGACCGTCATCCTCACCGGCCTTACACCGGAGTGGGACACTTTCCGTGCAACACTACAAGCGCTCCCGCAGTCAATGAAGAGTCGTGCGTTCATCTTTGAGGCCCTTGTCAACGAGCAGCAGAGTCGAGACCTTGCACGGAACAAGCGGAGTGACGAAGGTGCGTGGAGTGCTGCAGCAGCCACAAGATATGGCAACCAATTCCAGAGGCAAGGAAATTTCAGCCCAAACCGCCCTCAACCCTACTACGGTACGAAATTTCAGTCACCTTCCAACCCATACAAACCCTCTCGTTTTCCTCAGTCAAGTCCTCCCTATAAGTCCAGTCACTATGTCCAGCCAAGGCCTTCGATTCCCAATCAATACCAGCCTAGGAATGCAAGAGTCAATATGCCAAGAGTCAATAATTTCAGCCAAGCCCCGAATGCTAAAAAGTTTAATTTTGAGTGTTTTTGTTGTCATGAGTGGGGTCACCCGTGGTATGCTTGTCCTAAGAAGCCTCCTAATTGGGTCCCCCCACCTCAGCTACTATCTGAAAAAGGTAAGGCAGCCATAGCAAATATAGCAAGTCATTCTACAAGTCAAGATGAGTCCAAAGAGTCCGATGGTCCTGTCCTTTTTAACGCTGCTACTTGCATGCACGTTTTCTCTACTAGTAGTGAGGAGTTTATTCTTGATAGTGGCTGCTCTGAAACCATGACTCCCTATCAGTCCATTCTCAAGGATTTTCAGCCCTCATATGACTCAAAAGCTGTGACTCTTGCTGATCTTGGCAAAGTACCAATCAAAGGAGTCGGCAAGCTTGAGTTCGAAAAGGATGGTAAGTCATTTTGTGTCAATAAAGCTTTGTTTGTTCCTGATTTGGGAGCAAACTTGCTCTCAGCCGGACAACTCGAAGAGAAAGGTGCCTCCGTTCTCTTGCAAGGGGGGAAAGCCAAAGTGTGGGACAGTGCAGGAAATCTGGTGGCTGAAGGCGAGCGTACCGGGCGGCTCTACAAGATGAAGTTGGAGATTAAGCGCGGTGCTAGCAACACGAAGAACGACGTTGTCTCGCTTCCCGCTGTTTCAACCGATCAAGTCAACAACAAAGGGAGTATCTCCCAAGCTGAGGTATGGCATGCACGCTTGGGGCACGTGGGAGTGCAAGCATTGAAAGAGTTGGTAAATCACAAGAGCGTGGAAGGATTGAGTTTGAATGAAAGTGCAATCAAGTCCCTTTCTTCCGTTCCATGTCCATCTTGTGTGGAAGGTAAACTAGCTAGAAAGCCATTCTTCCCTTCTAAGTCTCAGTCAAGGGACCTCCTAGAGTTGGTCCACACTGATGTCTTCGGCCCCATGCGAGACCCTACTCGAAACGGTAAGAGATATTTGGTGTCTTTCATTGATGACAAGAGTCGTTTCTCGTGGTCCTTTTTCATCAACACCAAGGATGAAGTTCACAAGTGTTTCAAGCAATGGCTAGCACTTGTTGAGAGAGAGTCAGGGAAGAAGTTACTCACCTTGAGGTCGGATCGAGGAGGTGAGTACATGGGGAAAGCGTTTCAGGGGGAGTTGTTGGCATTGGGCATCAAACAACAGTTCACTTGTCCCTATAGTCCTCAGCAAAATGGAGTGGCAGAGAGGTTTCATCGCACTATCCAGGCTATAGCTACCACTTTCCTTCAGTTCAAAGGCCTTGACAAGCTCTGGTGGGGTGAGGCAATCACTATGGCAATTTATGTTCGCAACAGGAGACCCACAAGGCCCTTACCGGAAGGTGTAACGCCATATGAGGCTTGGTTTGGAGTTAAACCAGATCTGTCTATGCTTCGTGTTTTTGGTTCCATGGCCCAATACCGTGTTCCAGATGCAAAGAGACTCAAGCTGGACAGCAAAGCTCATTGGGGCCTCTTCATCGGCATGAGCAATGAGAGCAAGGGATGGGTCTTTTGGGATCCTGTCACCAAGCGAGAAGTGGTTTCAAGGGATGTTGTCTTCTATGAAGACATGTCCCTTGCAGGTTGGCATAAGTTTTCCTCTTCCTCCTCTCTACCCTCTATCCAACAGGAACCAGCAAGCGCACCTGAGGAAACAACACAAGAGGAGGAAGAAGATGACACCGATTCTGACCATAGCGGACCGATCATCGATCTCCCTCAAGCCGTCGTCAACGAGTCCAACCGTGCCACGCCAGTGCCACCAGCAGCTACTCAACCAAGTGGAGATGAAGTTCAGCCATCAAATGAAGACAATCCACCGCAGCAAGTCACCGTTCCATCACCACCAAAGGAGCAGCAGCCAACAGTCACAAACCAGCCAGCTATATCAACACCAACCTCACAATTTCAACGCCAACCGGATCAGCCCACCACTACGCCATCAAACCCATCACCAGCCATCACTCCAGAGGCAACTACAGAAGCTCATCATCATCCCATGCAGCAGCAATCAACAGCTACAAGACCCCAAGTACCTACATCAACACCATCTACGACTCTTCCTAGCAACAAGTCAACCGTCACCGCAACACCTCGTTCTCATACCACACGTTCATCACTTGTTCCAACGTCAAGCCAGCTCATAGCACGAGGATCACTTCAGCGAGTCACCACCAACACCAGCTCCAACAGTCCACTTCTTCACCCAAGACCTTTCTCAACTTCACCCCCACGTCCCGGATTCGGTCGTCATCAGTTACCACCATCTTCAACACCGAGCAACAACACCAACCAGCTCCAACCATCACCACCTCTCGACAAGGCAGCGTCATCATCAATTCCCAAGCTTCTAGTCTCAAGATCCCCACCAAGAGCATCTTCACAACCAACTATGCCGACAAACGTTTCAGCTTCACCGCCACGAGTCACCATACCTAATCCTCAAGTCAACACCGATAATCAAGATATTTCCACGCCAGGAGAAGAACAAGCAGCCGTGCCGCCGTCGCAGCCGATGTCGCAGCCGTTGTCTCAGCCGCAAATGACCGCATCAACGCAATCAAACACTGTGAGACCGAACCCTACCACTAATGTGTCTCAGCCAGCTGAGGAGTTTGGTAAAGGTAAACGAGTCCGCAAGGTAAAAAAGCCCTTCAATTTCATGGTTGACATGTCATCAAGGTGCACATGTGAGGAGAGTGAGAATTGCATTCACAAGAAGGTAGATGCAATATGCATGGCAGCATCACACCTTCCGCGAGAACCCTTGAGTCGTCGTGAGGCAATGGCAAGTCCCGAAAGAGAGCATTGGTTGAAAGCCGAGGAAGAGGAGATTGAGAGTCTCATGAAGCGAGGTACATGGCGTCTTGTTGAGCCACCTCCAGGGAAGAAGGTAATTGGTGTCAAATGGGTGTACAAGATCAAGGTAAAAGGTGATGCTAGCCTCGATAGGTACAAGGCAAGGTTAGTGGCAAAAGGTTATTCCCAAATTCCAGGTCTTGACTTCACCGAAACCTTTGCCGTGGTAGCAAAGTACACCACGGTACGAGTCCTCCTTGCCATAGCCGCATATCTTGGTCTCCATATCCATCAAATGGATGTCAAGAACGCATTTCTCTACGGTGTCTTGGAAGAAGAGGTATACATGGCACAACCCGAAGGTTATGATGACGGTACGGGTCGAGTGTGTCGCTTGGTAAAGTCCCTTTATGGTCTCAAACAGTCCCCACGGGTTTGGTATCATGCTCTTGAGCAGGTACTTTTTAAGCATGGTTTCACAAGGTCCATGAGAGACAACGCTCTGTACTTCATGCACACGAGTGAGGGGGAGTACATTTGGCTCTTGGTATATGTCGATGACCTCCTCCTAGTCTCAGGTTCTCTTGATCTTCTCAACAAGGTGAAAGGTATTCTCACGAGTGCATTCACGATGACCGATCTTGGTGAGCCGAGTCATTATCTTGGTATGAACATTGTGAGAGATCGTAAGTCACGGTCCATCTTCCTATTCTAGCAAAGATACATCCAAAAGGTCCTTGAGAGGTTTGGTCTTGATGATAGCAAGCCATCACCTACCCCACTTCCTTCCAAATTTGTCCCTTTGTCTTCACATCAGCCCTATGAAGAGAGAGAGTCAAGCCTTGATGTCATAGGTATTAAAGAGTTGTGTCTTGAGGAGAGTGAGCATCATGGTGAGAATTCACTTAAGGTATCCCCACAAGACCTAGCTCTGTACCAAAGTCAGGTTGGGTGTCTCATGTATGCAGCCCTATGCACAAGGCCCGACTTAGCATTCACGGTATCTAAGCTAGCTCAACACATGAGTGCCCCTTCATCTATTCATATGCATGCAGCCAAGCGAGCTCTTCGGTATCTCAAAGGTACTTCTAATCATGGTCTTCTCTTCCAAGCCAGCCCATATGCAAGCTCCCTCCAAGGCTTTACCGATGCAGATTGGGCGGGAGAATTGAGCACACGCAAGTCTACCGGCGGCTACATCTTCCTCATGTGTGGTGCCGCTGTTTCTTGGCAATCGCGCAAGCAAAGTTGTGTGGCACTTTCAACAACCGAAGCTGAGTACATGGCAATGACCGAAGGAGCAAGGGAGGCAATCTGGTTACGTGGACTCTTGGAGGAATTGAGGCAGCCGCAAACTCAACCAACTCCGCTCTACATGGACAACACTTCAGCCGTAGCTCTTTCCAAGAACCCGGTTCATCATGGGCGTACAAAACACATCGAGGTGCAGTACCACTTCATTCGTGAGCAACTAGAGAAAGGAGTTCTCGCCGTCAACTTTTGCCGTTCATTCGATCAAGCAGCAGATTTCATGACCAAGGTTCTTCCACATGATGCATTCAACATGTGCAAGGCAAGAGCAGGCCTCATGACACTTCATGAAGCAGTGGAGCAGTTTGAGGAGAATGAGGAGTGTGAGGGGAAGAGACGTGGGCAGCAGCATGAAGTGTATGCTAAGGAGATGTGAAAGGAGCATCAGCATGGGTGTATGTGTGCTTCGGGTCTGGTGCGAGGGGGAGTGTTGGAGAATCGAGTTTCTGCCGCCCCAGCCCTTTGCACACAAGCAGCAGCAAGGGGGAATGTCGGCGATGAATCAGAGCTTCGGGAAGTACTTCGAAAGTTCCACCACCAATCAGATTTCAGCCGAAGACTCGATATAGTTCAAAGCTGCCTTCAAACCGAAGTGTTGGCAGTTTCTACAGGTTTCTACACATCAGAATCAGCTATAACAGAAATATCCAGAGTTTTCTTATTCATGCACCTCATGTGGCTCAAAGTCACTCAAGGTCCATCCAATCTAGATTGTGCCCAAGTTACCAGGGAAGTTACATTGTCTATCAGCCTAGTTTGAGCTTTCAATCTGTCTTGTTTGTGATGCCTATAGAGTTGTGCTTTAGTGGGCTTGTTAATCTTGAACATAGTGAAGTTTTACCTCATCCAGTCAATTCCAGCAGCCCTGCTAAGACTTTCCAGCCAAGTTTCCAGCCCTCCAGTAGTCACAGCTACTCTGTTTTACAAGTCTGTCCACTCCAGTCCCCCCACCCCTCCTCTTCCCCACCCACCTTTGCTCTGCGCGCCGCTGCTGGATTTCGGAAGGACGATCCACGACGGGTCGAGACGCTCCACGCCTTTAAGATCCACCACAAGATTCTCTATAAGCACACCCCCTACAGTGCCAAAATCGCTCTCGCTCGCCCGCCCACCACCCGCGCCGCTAAACGACGCGTTTTTCGACAGCGACGGCGCGGACCCCACTCTGCCGCCCATCGCGCTGCTGCTGCTGCTCATGCCGTCGCGCCTCGGCGCGCGCTGCGGGATCGCCCAGGACGGCAATGCGATGCCGGCGGAGGCGGCGGCGGCGGAGAGCGGCGATGGCGACGGAGCGAAATTGTCGATGTCGATCGTCGCGATGACGGTTTCGCCCGGGCGATAAGCGGTTCGGGCGAATGCCACGTGGACTACTGGGGGAGGCTGCGTCGGTGGCTGCTGTTGCGCTGTCATGATGACGAGACTGCTCTGAGGTGCGTTATACTAGGTGGGAGTTGTCTCTAGTGCCCAAAGCTACCTAAGGAAGTTAGGGATTGCTATGGGTGGGGATATGCTCGAGTGATCGAAGTTAACCTCGATATGGAGTTACGCCTGGGGTAAGTTCTACTTAGTGGGAGTTGTCTCTAGTGCCTAAAGCTGCCTAAAGCTACCTAAAAGGAAATAAGGGCGAAGAATGCTCGAGGACGCGTCACCTCTCGATTGATCGTGCGCGCGATCGATGTGTCCAGGGTAGTAACGACGTCGCCAGATGCATGGTATCCTGTTTTCACCAGCATTCGGCATTATACAGAAAACTGGTCGTCAATATTGTGTCAGCTCTGGCTCGCGCGATCGATGTGTCCCCTGCCACAGATCGATCGTGCAATCGTCGCGATCGGGCAATTTTGCCCCATAAATCTCCAGACGTGTCACCTGTGGCTCGTTTTTCCAGGCAGTCGCAGATTTGCAGTTGGGCACTTGGGTGTGCCGAGCCTGTTAGGTTCGGTGTGAGATCTGACACCCCAAACCTGCCAAATTTTCTAGAGGTGACACGTCCTAATAAGTCATAACAGCACACTACTCCTTTCGCTCACCATTTCATTCGTAACAAATGATTGGGCGAGATTCTTCGTCACTCGCGAGGCTCAGCCCTCCCACTGTGAACCACAGGTCGCCCAATGATGCCACTTCAATACCGTTTGAAGACGCACCTCTGTTCCGAGTATCGCGCCCTGATAATGGGCAAAGGAAAGTAACCTTGGGAGTAATATCACCAGAAGTCCGTGTCGTGCAGTCATGGTTCTTCATTCAACTCCAGTTAGTGCTTCCCATAGTAGCCTTAGAATCAAGTGTAGCCCTTATTACTTGCCAACGAAATCGCCGTTTAAGAGCGCCGAGTCGCTAATACCGTATCCAGTGGCGCTCGTTTGGGCGGTAGTCTCGACGATTCTCCTCCTCTGCTCGATCTCGCTTGTAGCCGTTCAGCTTTCCCAACGATGCGCGCCGTGCGACTGCGACTTAGCGCTAAGAATTGCAGACGGAAGCAGAAGCGGAGGCCGCATCGCAGCTCAGCCGTGCTCTGATTGGACATCAACCAGCAGAGCCACTCCGGTAGTGCAAAACGGCGGAGATAGCAGCTCGTCGCCGCAAGTCAGTCCCGAGGATGCGTGGGCGTTTACGAAGGTACTAAGTGAACCCCAAGTCTGACAATGATCCTGGCAGATGTGCTTGGTGTCGAACGCCATGCTCCCCGCGTTCGTCCCCGCGTTCCCACTCCATCTCGACGCACGCCCACCCCAAAGTGTACCTCTCAAATGGACCCTCTCTCGGCCTATGGCGATATGATATCACAGGGTCCTGCACAAGCATATTCCATCTGGACATAGTAGCCACAATGGAATTCGAACGTACGTGCAATCATTCCACACAATGTCGCTCAACTGAGCATCTTCGGAATGATGCTTCCTCCTCGTCCCCCCCCCCCCGCGCCTTGCCGACACCCACAATGCGCAGTGGACACCCCGCGTTTCTCCGTGTCTTGTAGCGGGGCTGCCTATAGAGGAGCTAGACGCGCACCTGAACTTCCGCCGCGGATGGACCCTGGGCTTCGTGGACGACGTGGAGGACAAGACGCAGATCTTACCGTTCCTCAGAGCCAACATGGATCCCAGCTTGCACACGAGGTGCGTTGTGCGTTCTAATTTCAGTTACCGATGGACCCAAGAAAAGCTGTGAGTCCGACGATTTACAGGCCTTCCTTCTTCCCCGTATCTGCTCCTCCCTTTTCCATCTCCGCATTCGCAGGATGCACGTTCTACGAATTTCAGTGATATATAAGAACCTAGACTTTTAGACAGGACTTACTTTCTCCGCTTCCGTTCCCTGGAATTCCGCGATTTCGCAGGAAGCGGAGGGTGCTTATAGACCTTGGAGCCAATAAGTTTGAGACAAGTGTCACCTGGTTCCTTCGAATGTATCCCCTCGATTTCACCGAGATTCATGCAGTGGAAGTGGAAATTGATCTGTTCCAGAAGCCATCCACACCGCCCCTTGAGGTGCGTAAATAATTGCATTACTACGCACATATTGGAAAAGAAAGGCGTGCCAGCAGTTGTGGGGGCTGGGAAGGAGAGGGCGCAGCGACAGACTGAGGGATTTACTAAGCGGAAATTCATGCCGCCAGCATATTTTTACTAGCATGTTCACGCTAGCGCTATTTCTAGCATATGCACATACGGTTAGGCATTCGCTCTTGGCATGGATGGGGCATTCGCTAGAAACCTGGGCAGGGTGTAAATAAAGGGAGGGGAAGGAGGGGAGAGAGGGGGAATGGTGTTTGGTGCAGGGGTACGGAGATTGCAGCTCCCACATAGTCTGGAGTGGGTGGAGGGGTTGGGCTATGAAGAGGGAGCTTTTCTCCGCGTAGTACCTTGAGCGGCAGTGAAGGGGAGAAGAAGTGGGGATAAGCAGGGAGTCTGCTGTTCGGCTTAATGCGTACGGTACGTGGCTGCCGGTATCGTTCCGCGTAACTTGGAAAGGGAACGATTAAAAGCAACGTCGTCTGTGAAGCGCTGCGCACTGCAGAGACAACAGATAACGTCACCTGGTTAAAGGAGAAGGCATATGTGTCAATCACGTCTCCTTGATACCATCAACTCTTCCTTACACTCTGCGTGTTCTTCCCCCCTCCCCATTCTCCCCTAATTCTCCCCACCTGCCATCATAAATTAATCTTCCTTCTTCCACAATATTATTTCTTATGTCAACAGAATAGAAGATTCTAGGACTTTGCCGCCGTGATGCCATTAGTTTTGAGACGTCTCAAAACTAGGACTTTGCCGCCGTGATGCAATTAGTTCATGCCACGCATACCCTTCCCAACCGTTTCAGGTACCAGCCTATGATATCAACTCGCACTCTCGCCTGCGTCCGTTCCACGGGGGCCCTGCAGGCTTCCCTGCGTGGCTGATGGACCGCGTTCACCCCTACAACTTCTTCATCTCTTCCCAGGACAACCAACAAGAGGTAACACCCAAAGGAACTTAACATTTTTTACACCTAGAAGAAGAAAAAGGTAACAACCTGAATTGACAATGTGGCTATAGAAGGCACCCTTGCTGTGAGCACTGAGCATCGGGTAAAGGCACCTCAGTTGAGTCTTGAAAGAGCCTTTCTCTGGTGTGCCTTAGGTGTGACTTGCAATAGCCTTCCTCAGTTCCTATTGGTGTGACAACCAAGAAGAGGTAACAGCCACAAGAAATTCGCCCTCAGTTGAGCCCTGGAAGAGCCTTTCTCTGGTGTGCCATGGGTGTCACAGGTGTGACTTATAGGTGAAGCCATACGTGCCACACGTGCCACAGGTGCCACAGGTGCCATTGGTGCCGTGGGTGCCACAGGTGCCATTGGTGTGACTTGCTCGAGTTGTAGCTTGCCTTGCCTACCCTCGCTCCTCTCTTCATCTCCCACCTCCACGTCCGCCCGCCTGCCTCCCTGAAGGGGTTTAGATACGTCTCAAAGCTAGATGAATTGCTCACCCCTCTCCTTTTTTCCCCGCTTAACCCATTCCTCCCTACTCCTGTTCCGCCTTTCTCCCTTCCCTTCCCCCTCTGCCTTTCCTCCTTCCTCTCGTTCATCCCCACTCCCTTTCGTCTCCCCCCTTCCCACCCCCCCGTTTCCTCCCTCCTCCCTTTTCTCCCCCCTTCCTAACTCCTCGTTTTCTTCTCCTTTTCCTAACTACTCGCTTTCCTCCCCTCCTCCTAACTCCTTCTTCTCCTCCGAACTCCTCCCTTTCCTCCCCCTCCCACTTCCTAACTCTTTCCTTTCCTCCACCCTCCCACTTCCTAACTCTTTCCTTTCCTCCCCCCTCCCACTTCCTAACTCTTTCCTTTCCTCCCCCCTCCCACTTCCTAACTCTTTCTTTTTCTCCCCTCTCTCACTTCCTAACTTTCCTTTTCTCCGCCCTCCCACTTCCTAACTCCTTCCGTTTCTCCCCCCTCCCTGATACCTCTTCTCCGCCCCCTTACCTCCACCCCCTTTCTTTCCCCTCCCTTCCCTCCCCCGATCCTCCCCTCGTCCTCGTCATCTCCCCTCCCTTCCCCCCTCCCCCTTATCTTTCTTTTTTTCTCCCCTCCTTTTTCCCCTCACCCTTTCCTTGCACCCTTACCCTCCCTCTATCGTTCCTCACTCATTTTTCTTCCTTTCCTCTCAATGCAGCAGGGGACGTGACCAGGCGGGCACTGCAGCCAAGGGAGGAGCACATGGGCTCCACTAGTGGTGACTAGAGCTAGCCTTTCTGTCCTCCCTCTTTGCCTCCTGCCTCTCTGCCTCCTGCTTCTCTGCCTCCTCCCTCTGCCTCATCCCTCTGCCTCCTCCCTCTGCTTCCTCCCTCTCTCCCTCCCTCCTCCTTCTCTCCCTCCTCCCTCTCTCCTTCCTCCCTCTCCGCGTTCTGCCTCTCTGCCTCCTCCCTCACTTCCTCCTCCTTCTCTCCCTTCCCTCTCTCCTTTGTCCCTCTCTCCCTCCCCCCTCTCTCCGTTGTCCCTCTCTCCCTCCTCCCTCTCTCCCTCCTCCCTCTCTCCTTTGTCCCTCTCTCCCTCCTCCCTCTCTCCTTTCTCCCTCTCTCCTTTCTCCCTCTCTCCCTCCTCCCTCTCTCCCTCCTCCCTCTCTCCCTCCTCCATCTCTCCCTCCTCCCAGAGCGCACTGAGCGTGACTAACTGAGGCCAACAGAGGGAGCGGCGGAGGGGACCCAGTCATGCCAACCATAGCTCTCCTTTCTATTTCCTCCCGGTTTTTTTTGTTCCCTTTTTCTGCCCGCTTCCCCTTTCCCATGTTCCTCCTCCCGCCTCCCCCATCCTTCCCCTCTCCCTCCCTCAGAACGTAACCTGGTGGTTGTTGGACGAGCTGCAGCTGACAGAGGAAGACTCTGTCATTGTCAAGAGGGACATAGAGGGGGCGGAGTGGGGCTGAATACGGTGAATACGGAGATTCGGGCTGTCCCCTTTCTTATCTTACTCCTCCTTCCCCCCTCCTCACCCCCTGCACAACTGGCCCCCTGGAGTGGGAAGTGCTGCATGAGTGGCACCCGGCAATATCCCTGCTCTCCTCATCCTCTCTCCCCCCCTTCTCCCTCTCACAACACAGTGATCATGACCAGGTGGCTGCTGGAGGAGCTGCAGGTGGGAAAGGAGGACTCAGTGGTGGGTGCATACAGATATTGTGGCTTTCTCCTTACCCATCCTACTCCTCCTCCCCCCTCACCCCCTCTTGCCCACCAACCCCTCCTCAGAACAGTGAACGTGACACGGTGGCTGTTGGACGAGCTGCAGTTGACAGAGAGGGGGCGGAGTGGGCCGTGCTGCACAAGTCCCCACCCTCAATACTCCCCTTTCCTCCCCTCTCTCCTTCCATCCAATCCCCTCCCCCCCTCTCTCCCCCAGAACACTGTCAACGTGATGTGGTGGCTGCTGGACGAGCTGCAATTGACAGAGGATGACACAGTGATAGTGAAGATGGACACAGAGGGGGCGGAGTGGGCCGTGCTGCACGAGTGTCCTTCCTCAATACCCCTCCCCCCCCCATCTCCCCCCCTTCCCCCCTCCACAGAACACTGTCAACGTGACGCGGTGGCTGCTGGACGAGCTGCAGTTGAGAGAGGATGACACAGTGATAGTGAAGATGGACACAGAGGGGGCGGAGTGGGCCGTGCTGCACGAGTGGCTGGCCATCCCGCGCATGCCCGCCATCGTGGATGAGCTGTTTGTGGAGGTGCACTACCACCACCCCTCCATGGAGGGTCTGACGTGGACGGATAGGTTCAATCACACGCTTGACGACACAACACAGCTGCTCACTGACCTGCGGAGAGCCGGATTCTATGTTCACCCGTGGCCGTAGATGAGGCTTGTCTGCTAACCTTGGCCATAGATGCGCGCTCAAGTACAGGCCCCACGATATCAGGGTAAAACATCCTGATTACCCTGATTTCAGGATAGTGTCAGGTGTTCTCCCTGCAATTTCAGGATGATGGTATATTTTACCCTGTCACTTCAGGATATTTTTTGTGTTGAGCCCTGAAATTTTAGGAAGGCCGTGAGATTTTTCCCTGAAGCATCAGGACGAAGGTAAAGGGCTGCCCTGACGCGTATGCAGCAGGGGAAGGGGTGTGGGGGTGGGGGGGGGGGATGAGGGAGAGAGGGGAAAGGGGCGGGGGGGTGTGTTACTGGTTTTGTCTCCTCCCGAGGATTTCGCCACTTCCTCGCCGTACCGTACCATGCATGCACCGGGCTTCCCAGTCGTATCGTGCCTTCCCCTCCACCTCTCTCATGTCTTGTGATTTTGTTGCCCTGAGAGATCAGGATGAACTCATGTAGGTGCCCTGAAAGTTCAGGATAGCCATAACAAATTGCCCTGAAAAATCAGGGCATTCTTGAGAATTTTCAAAGTTGCCTTGAGGGCTCAGTGTTAGAAACAAGTATTTAACGCTTCTGAAGTATCGAAGCAATAATACGAAACGGAGCAGACTACAGCGAAACAACACGCGAGTCAACAAACGTAACAGTTGGAGGTTACGCGAAGGTCAAAGGTCGCTGACCTTTGACTAAAATATGTCAAACTTATATATGCTATAGTCTGTTTAGGCTGTAGTGGGGTAGTTCATATAGGGTACAACACTTTTAGGTTTCCTACTTGTACCCACCTGCTTCCTAGTTCATCCATTCCGTTCCTGATTCTAACATGGTATTCTGAGCAGGTTCCCTAGTGGGAACGTTTTTTAGGGCCCACCATGAAATTTCTCCTGCCCTGCCCGAAGCGCGCATCACGGCCCCTTTGAAGCCCGTCGCTGGCCCCTTAGCCGCCCGTCGGCCCCCCTTTGCCGCCCGTCACGGCCCCTTAGCCGCCTGTCGTCGGCCCCTTAGCTGCCCGTCACGGCCCCTTAGCCGCCCGTCGGCCCCTTAGCCGCCCGTCGGCCCCTTAGCCGCCCGTCGTCGGCCCCTTAGCCGCTCGTCGTCGGCCCCTTAGCCGCCCGTCACGGCCCCTTAGCCGCCCGTCGGCCCCTTAGCCGCCCGTCGTCGGCCCCTTAGCCGCCCGTCGGCCCCTTCGCCGCCCGTCGTTGGCCCCTTAGCCGCCCGTCGCGGCCCCATTAGCCGCCCGTCGTCGGCCCCTTAGCCGCCCGTCGTCGGCCCCTTAGCCGCCCGTCACGGCCCCTTAGCCGCCCCCGTCGGCCCCTTAGCCGCCCGTCGTCGGCCCCTTAGCCGCCCGTCGCCCCCCCCTTCGCCGCCCGTCGTCGGCCCCTTAGCCGCCCGTCGCGGCCCCCATTAGCCGCCCGTCGGCCGCCCGTCACGGCCCCCCTTAGCCGCCCGTCGGCCCGTTAGCCGCCCGTCACGGCCCATTCGCAACCCGTCGGCCCCTTTACCGCCCGTCTCGGCCCGTCGCCGGTCTGTCCCGGCCCCGGTGCTGCCCGTCGACCGCCCGTTCCGGCCCCGCCCGTCACGGCACGGTCGCCGCCTGCCGCGGCCCTGCCCTACAGCAGCCCCCCCTGCCGCGGCCCTTACCTAACACCGCCAGCTGCGGCCCTGCCCTGCACCCTGACCTGGTAAGCACCTGCGCCGCCCCGCCACCTGCTGCCCTGCCGCGCCGCACCGCCAGGAACCGAGCCGCGCCGCCCAGCCGAGTCGCGCCGCCCAGCCGAACCGCGCCGCTGAACCGAGCTGTGCTGCCCTTCTTCTTGCACTGCGCCTGCTGCCACTGCTGCTTCTGCTGCCTCTGCTGCTCCTGCTGCTACTGCTACTATGGCTAGCCCCACTGTACTCACCTTTGATACTGAGGGGCGTGCAGTTGAGTTTGACGTGTGGGTTGACGACCAACAGCTGTTTCTTCAGTGTGACTCTAGGGATGGGGTATCCCTTTTTAATCACACGTCCGGTGTCTCCACTGCTCCTGCTGCCACTGCTGACAGTACTGTTCGCTCGCAGTGGACCACTCGTGACGCTGTTGCTCGCCTTGCTGTTCGTAGTCACCTGCCGCCTGCCGAGCGCGCGCATTTTGGCCAGTACAAGACTACTAAGTCTTTGCACGACGCTGTAGTTGCGCGCTACTCCTCCCCTGCCACTGCTGCCCTCAGCCGCTTCATGCTGCCGTACCTTTTCCCTGACCTTGCCGCCTTTGCCACAGTCGCTGACCTCATTACTCACCTCCGCACTAGTGACGCCCGCTACCGCGCTGCGCTTCCCACTGAGCTCCTTCCCACGAACCACCCCCCCATGTATATCACCCTTTACTACCTAGTCACCCGCCTCCCTGACTCTCTTGCGTCAGTCAGGGACCACTTTCTCACCCTCTGCCCCACCGAGCTCACTATCGACCTGCTCGAAGAGCGCCTCACTGCAGCTGAGAAGAGTATCTTAGCTGTAGGTGCTTCTCGCGGCGACCGTCGCACCCCTTTCTTTGAGGGGTGTTCCCCTGTCCCCCTTCTCCCATCTGTTTCTTCTGCTGCTGCTGTTGACCTCGTTGGTAGTGAGGAGGTCGGGGCTGCGTCTGCTCCTAGTGGGAGGCGCCGCAACAGCAAGGGCAAGGGGGGCAAGGGTGGTGGAGGGGATGGCGGTGGAGGTGGCGGAGGCGGTGGAGGAGGCGGAGGGGGTGGTGGTGGAGGTTGGGGTGGTACCGGGGGTGGGGGAGTCAGTGGCGGCGGAGGAGGTGGAGGCAGCGGCGGAGGTGGTGGAGGCAGCGGCAGAGGTGGTGGAGGCAGCGGCAGTGGTGGTGGAGGCAGCGGCAGCAGTGGTGGAGGTGGCGGCGGCGGTGGTGCTGGTCGAGGTCCAGCTGCGCAGCGTGGAGGCTCTGGTGGTAGCCAGCGCCAGCAGTAGCCGCGTTCCCGTGAGACCGCGTCGGTCCAGCAGCTTCGTGATTGGTACGCTGGGCGTGGGAGGTCTGGGGGTGCTGGTCCCTGCACTTACGTTCTTCGCACCGGCAGCCGTCGTGGGGAGACGTGTGGTCTGCCACACACTACGCAGCGCTGCTTTGGTTGCCTGACTGACGCCTTGCGCGCCCAGTTTCCTGACGCTGTTGAGCTCCCCCGTTGGGGTGATCTGCTTAGGCAGAATGTGGCTATCTTTGACCTTGATTTCGATGCTATTCTTGCTGCCATGTATGCTTTGATTGATAGTGCTGAGGGTGACTGTTACCTGGGTGTCCCGCCCGACCCGGGCATTGAGGCTGCTGCTCTAGGTGCTAGTGCGTGTGCTGCTCCAGGTGCTGGTGAGTCTGCAGCTCCAGGTGCTGGTGAGTCTGCTCTCTCTGGTACTGCACCTACTGAGGCCTTTCACACTTTCACACTTGACTCTGGTGCTTCGCGCTCTTTCTTTCGCGACAGCACCACGCTCATGCCACTCAGTCGGCCTGTAGCGGTCTCCCTGGCTGACCCCTCTGGGGGTCCAGTCCTTGCACACTCTTCCACGGTTCTACCGTGTCCTGCGGCCCCGTCGGGCTTGCTGTCGGGACTCCACCTCCCCTCGTTCTCTACGAACCTGGTGAGTGGAGCTGACCTTCAGGACGCGTGGGTTGACCAGTTCGCTCCTGGAGGTCAGCGTGTGACCCACTGCACTTGCTCTCGGACGGGCCGCCACCTGGCCACGTTCACCCGTCGGCCAGGGTCAAGTCTGTACACATTGACTACTGCGTCTCCTCCGGTCTCTGCGTCAGGTCAGGTAGCCGCGTCTAGTCAGGTGTTTGCTGCTGCGTCCAGGTCTAGCCCTGCGTCTGCCCCCTGCTCGTGTCGTCCTCTGTCACACGAGACTCTCCTTTGGCACCACCGCCTTGGTCACCCCTCCCTGCCTCGTCTTCGAGGTATGGCCTCCCGTACCCTTGTCTCGGGTCTCCCCCGGTCCCTCCCTCCACTTCCTCCGGGGTCTGCCCCTACCTGTGTTCCTTGTGTCGAGGGCCGGCAGCGCGCCGCTCCTCACTCCTCCACGTTCCCTCCGACAGAGGCTCCCCTGCAGACTCTTCACATGGACGTGTGGGGCCCAGCCCGCGTTACTTCCTACTGGTCGTTGACGACTACTCGCGTTACACCACAGTCTTCCCCTTGCGCAGCAAGGGTGAGGTCACTGAGGTGTTGATCGACTGGATCCGCGGTGCCCGTCGTCAGCTCAGCGAGCGTTTCGGCTCGGACCTTCCTGTTCTGCGTCTGCACTCAGACAGACGTGGTGAGTTTTCCTCCGACCTTCTGAGGGCCTTCTGTCGGGCGGAGGGCATCCGCCAGACGTTCACGCTTCCGGCCTCCCCACAGCAAAATGGGATTGCTGAGCGCCGCATTGGCATGGTCATGGACGTCGCTCGTACGTCCATGATCCATGCGGCTGCTCCCCATTTTCTGTGGCCGTTTGCGGTTCAGTACACTGCGCATCAGATCAACCTTCAGCCTCGTGTCTCCTTGCCGGAGACCACACCTACTCTGCGGTGGACGGGGAAGGTTGGCGATGCATCCGCGTTCCGTGTCTGGGGATCTCGAGCTTTTGTCCGCGATACTTCAGCGGACAAGCTGTCCTCCCGTGCCGTTCCCTGCGTCTTCCTTGGCTTCCCCCCTGACGCACCCGGGTGGCAGTTCTACCACCCCACCTCGCGTCGTGTTCTGTCCTCTCAGGCGGTCGGTGTCGAGTCGGTGTCTTACTATCGTCTCTTTCCCTACCGCACTGCCTCTCTTCCCCCCCCGCCGCTTTTCCTAGCGCCAGGTACTCCTCCGGTAGACCCCCTCCCCCCTCAGGGTCCTGCCCCCTCAGGTGTGTCTCAGGTAGACCCTGCCGAGCCGGTCGAGGTAGCTGTCGACTCAGGTGCTGCTAGGGGTGCTGAGCCTGCGGGTGCGGGGCCTGTGAGTGCGGAGCCTGGGGGTGCTGAGTCTGGGG